TGATACTATACCTCCACGATCCCAAAAACTCCATCCCCAAACTCTTAGAAATCATAAATCACTTCGGCAAAATAGCAGGATACAAAATAAACCCACAAAAATCAGTTGCCTTCCTATAAACTGATAATGTACAGGAAGACAGGGAAATAAAGGGAGCAACCCCATTCACAATAACCTCCCAAAAAATAAAATATTTAGGAATTAACCTAACCAAAGATGTAAAAGAACTATTTAATGAGAACTATAAAAAGTTAAAGAAAGAAACTGCAGAAGACACTAGGAAATGGAAAGACCTCCCATGCTCCTGGATAGGCCGACTTAATATAGTAAAGATGGTAATACTTCCAAAACTAATATACAAATTCAATGCAATTCCTATTAAAATCCCAATGACGTACATCACTGAAATACAGAAAATAGTCCAAAAATTCATATGGAACAACGAAAGACCTAGAATAGCCAAAACAATTCTAGGGGATAAAGACAATATGGGAGGGCTATCCATGCCGAACTTCAAACTCTACTACAGAGCTATAATCACAAAGACAGCATGGTACTGGCACAAAAACAGACCCGAAGACCAATGGAACAGAATAGAAGATCCAGAAATAAATCCACAGGCCTACAGCCAGCTGATATTCGACAAAGGAGCCAAAGACATACAATGGAAGAAACACAGCCTCTTCAACCACTCGTGCTGGGAAAACTGGGCAGCCACATGCAGAAAACTAAAAGTGGACCCCAGCCTATCACCATGCACCAACATCAACTCAAAATGGATTAAAGACCTTAACATTAAACCTGAATCTCTGAAACTACTGCAGGACAGAGTAGGAGAGACACTTGAACTAATAGGCACAGGAAGGAACTTCCTGAACAGAGTCCCAGGGTCACAACAAGTTGGAGAGAGACTCGACAAATGGGACTACCTTAAAATAAAAAGCTTCTGCACAGCTAAATCTATCGAAACTAAGCTAGAAAGACAACCAACTAATTGGGAAAAAATATTTACCAGCAATATATCAGACAAGGGGTTAACATCCTGTATATACAGGGAACTCAAGAAACTAATCCCTCCCAAACCTAACAAACCAATTACTAAATGGGCAAGGGAACTAAAGAGGGACTTCTCAAATGAAGAAATAAAAATGGCAAAGAAACACATGAGGAAATGTTCATCATCCCTGGTGGTGAAGGAAATGCAAATAAAGACAACCCTGAGATACTACCTTACCCCAGTCAGAATGTCCCACATCCACAAATCAGCCAACGACAAATGCTGGAGAGGATGTGGAGAAAGAGGAACCCTATTACACTGCTGGTGGGAATGTAGTCTTATACAACCACTTTGAAAAGCAGTCTGGAGGGTCCTTAGAAAGCTAAAGATTGACCTCCCTTACGACCCAGTCATACCACTTCTAGGCATCTACCCTGAACAACAGGAACCAATATACAAGGACATGTGCACCTCCATGTTTATCGCAGCACTGTTCACAATAGCTAGAATATAGAAACAACCTAGATGTCCCACCACAGATGAATGGATCCAAAAATTGTGGTATCTATACACAATGGAATATTATGCAGCCATTAGAAATGACAAAATAATGGCATTTGCAGGGAAATGGATGGAACTAGAAGGAATCATGTTGAGCGAGGTTAGCCAAGAATGAAGAGACAAACGGTACATGGTCTCCCTGATAAGTGGATGCTAAATCCAAAATGTTAGGTGATATGACAAAACTAACAGGACTTAAGAAACAAAGAACTCCCACTCATCTGGTTGAACCACTACTAAATATCCCCATGCTGCTGATCACATATATGGTATATAACATGTGAACACCATTATATATTACAGACTGTGATAGACAATTTGCTCCAGGAAAGTTAGAACGAACTTGTGACTTTAAATGAGCATCATTATTCCACAATACTGTGAATTTCCAGAAATTATGTAATCACTTATCACAATAAAAAAAAAAAAAAAAAGAACCTCGGGGAAGGGAGGGAGGGAGGGGATGGTAGGGGAAAAACTATGGAGGGGGTAACAATGATCAAGAGGAAGTGTACTCATTACCTCACACATGTAACTGTAACCCTCTGTATAGTATCTTTACAATTAAAAAAAAAATTGAAAAAAAAAAAAAAAGAAAGTGTGAGGGCTGGGACGGTGCTCAGTGGTAGAGTGCTTGCCTTGCATGCATGAGGCCCTGGGTTCAATTCCTCAGCATCACATAAGCAGAAAAAGCCGGGAGTGGCACTATGGCTCAAGTGGTAGAGCACTAGCCTTGAGCTGAAGAGCTGAGGGACAGTGCCCCGGCCCAGAGTTCAGGCCCATGACTGACAAAAAAAAAGTGTAAGCCAGGTCCCAGTGGCTCACGCCTGTAATCCTAGCTACTCAGGAGATTGAGATCTGAGGATCGTGGTTCAAAGCCAGCCCGGGAAAGAAACTCCATGAGACTCATCTCCAATAAACCACTAGAAAACCGGAAGCAGCACTGTGGCTCACGCGGTAGAGTGCTCGCCTTGAGCTGAAGAGTGCAGGGATAGTGCCCAAGCCCAGAGTTCAAGTCCCATGACCAAAAAAAAAAAAAAAAAAAAAAAAGTGTGATCAGATGTGGTATCATACAACTCTAACTCCAGCTACCAGAAAGCAGAAGAATGAGGATTTAACGTTGAAGGCCAGGCTGGGCAATATATAGTAAGATGTTGTCTCAAAATACTTTTTTTTTTTATTGTTATTATATATGTAGGGGTTACAGTTACATAAGTCAGGTAAAGAGTACCTCTTTTTGTGGACAATATCACCTCTTCCCTTGCTTTCTCCCAGTTTTTCCCTCTTAAAACTTTGTTTTGTTTTTTAGTTGTGGGGCTTGAACTCAGGGCCTAGGCATTATGCCTGAACTCTTTTGCTCAAGGCTAGCACTCTACCACTTTGAGCCACAGCTTACTTCTGGTTTGTGAGCAATTAATTGTAGATAAACATCTCCCAGGGACTTTTCTCAGATCTCAGCCTCCTGAGTAGCTAGGATCACAGGTGTAAGCCATCAGTGCCTGGTCAAAATATTTTTTTTTTTTTGGGTCCGGTCGTGGGGCCTGAACTCTGGGCCTGGGCGCTGTCCCTCAGCTCTTCAGCTCAAGGCTAGCACTCTACCACTTGAGCCACAGCACCACTTCCGGCTTTTTTCTTTGTGCTTCTGTGGTGCTGAGGAATCGAACCCAGGGCCTCAGGCATGCAAGGCAAGAGCTCTACACTGAGCCACCTTCCCAGCCCCCAAAATATTTTTTTTAATTATGAAATGTAACTACACAGTGCTCCAAGCAAAATTTATATCAATAGAAATTTGTAGAATTCAAAGCACAGATTAAAAGATAATTTCCAAGTTAAAAGGTATCCCCACAACAAATGGAAGTAAACAGACCTACATAAAAACATACCATAAGAAATACAGGGCTGGGAATGTGGCTTAATGGTAGAATGCTTGTCTAGCATACATGAAGCCCTGGGTTCAATTCCTCAGTACCACATAAACAGAAAAAGCCAGAAGTGGCACTGTGGCTCAAGTGGTAAAGTGCTAACCTTGAGCAAAAAAAGCTCAGGAACAGCACGTAGGCCCTGAGTTCAAGCCCCAGGACTGGCAAAAAAACAAAAACAAAAATAAACAAAAAAACCAGAACACAGAAAACAAAGAGAAGGTTCTAAAGAGAGAAAAATTAGATCACAAAGGATAAAAAATTGAAATGCCTCAAACTTAGCACTGGAGATTGAGAGCATGACAGATTAAAGGAAGGAGGGAGGAAAGGGGGCAGCAAGAGGAAGAGAGGGGGAAAAAAAGAGAGCAAAGGAGAAAGAGCAAAAAAGGTAAAGCAATAATAGAAGTTATAAATAATCAGTTGAAAGGTAAATGATTTTGTCCCTATAAAGAAAACTAGTAAATAGGAATTAGCGGAGCTAAGGCTTGTTTATTTGTAACAAACACACGAAACTATTTGAGTCTTTAAATAAAATATAAAGATCTATATAACAAGGATCTTTTGGTTTATACTCGTACAAAATAAATAAGAGGAAGAGGGATGGAAGGAGGGCAGGAAGGAAGGAAAGAAATGAAGGAAGGAAGGAAGGAAGGGAGGGAAGGAAGGGGGGAAGACAAGACACTGGGTTTATTAATAAAAGAAAAACCCGGGCCTAGGCACCAGTAGCTCAAACCTGTAACTACTCAAAAGGTTAAATCTAGAGGATAGTAGTTGAAAGCCAGCCCAGGCAGAAAGTTCACTAGACTCCATCTACAAAATAACCAGCAAAAAGCCAGACTGGAGGTATAGTTCAAGTGGTAGACTATCATCCAATCAAGCAAGTCAAGCAAGCTCAAGATTCTAGGTTCAAACCCCAGTAGATAGGTAGACAGACGGATGGATAGGTAAATGATAGAACATTCCACTTCTTAGTGCCAACTGGTAAAGTCTAAAGAAATGCAATGTGTAACAGTACAGACATCAGGGCATACACAAATCTCTTGACAATAAATTTGTCTGTAAGTGTTGTAATAATTAAGTAGCTATGACTAAACCAAGAAAAAATCATTACTTCCCTAGTTGAAATGTTTCTTATTTATTTTGGCTTTTTAGTATTATTTTATTCATTTGTATTTAAAAAAACTGAATATAAACTACTCTAGCCTAGACTGACAAAATAGAAGTACTATATTCTGTTTCTACTTCACATTATACACTTATCCTTAACTATATGTTGGTAAGTTAACAAAAAATTGCTCTTTAGTTGTCTATTTCAATTTTTGATGTATTTACAAAAAAAACAAGGATTCATAAACAAATGACTGTTGTTTTCTTTATTAATGATCCTGATAAGTGAATTTCATGAACAAAGGTTACTGTGAGACAGAAAGCAAAATTCACATGATTCCCTTTTACAGTGTTTATCTGTGCTTTTAATTATAAAAAACTATATATTTAAAACAATAAGGAAGAAACCAACTCACCTTTTTGTACTCATCTGTTCTTTTAGCTTACTGTACATTTCCAGCACTGTATTTAAAAAATATAACATTTTAACTTTCAAAACAAAAAGAGCATTTTGAGAAATTGCAAGTTAAAGGAGACAAAACTATACTGCAAATTCATTAGTTTTCTCTATCCTTTGAGTTGGCCTGATATGTTCAAACAAACTGTTAAATGCTTCAATAAATTAAAATATTTTTCTTTCCAGATTAATATTTATGATATATATTATATATAGCTATAATATATAATATGCTGATCTTAGTCAGAAATTAACTGTGCTATTCAGAACTCATTATTTCTTCCCAGAAGTGGAAATAGAAGTTGGACTTAGTTATTTGAGAGGGAAAACTGAGGGACAGTAAGATTTATTGGTTTTGATGTAACATAGCAAAGAAAATAATACAACTATCTTATAAATAATTAGACAGGAATATTTAGACCACATCTACAAAGCAAAACTTACCAAATGCTAACAGTATATAACAAAGGTAGAAATAAACCAACAAAACATTTTTGTTCATCTCATCCTTCCTACAATCCCTGAAATGCATTTATTCAATAAAATTGTCATTAACTTCAGCAAAATAATATGCTGTCACCATAAAAGCCATGAGGGCTGGGCGCTGGTGGCTAACACCTATAATCACAGCTACTTAGGAGGCTGAGATCTGAGGATGATGGCTCGAAGCCAGCCTGGGCAGGAAACTCAGTGAGACTCTATTTCTATCGAAAACAAAAAAGCCAGAAGTGGCGCTGTGGCTCAAGTGGCAGAGCACTTGCCTTGAATAAAAAGAAGCAAAAGAAAGGACAGTGCCCAGGTCCAGAGTTCAAGCCCTCGTACCCCCCCCTTGGGGGGGGCGGGAAGGGGAGAAGGTGGAGGGGAAGAGCCATAAGCCAGTTACATAGATTACCTTTTAACCTTAGCAGAATTTCAAAAGTGTAAAATCTGTAAGTAAATCCTTCCTGGTTCATCAAATTTTCATAGATCTGAAGGATAGACTAAAACATTTTTTCCAGATTTTCTAGTTATATGGGCTACCACTCCAAGTTTGCAAAGGTATTTTTTACTTGTCTAAAAGCTGTAAGACCTTCATTGGTGGCTTAGTGAACCAGCTCTATGGCATCACAGGACCCTCTGCATACCTCTATCACAGCCTCTGTATCATATTGTGATATTTCTCTCAAACAAAAGCATTAGAGTGAACATAGAACCTGGGACAGATACTGCTGCTAACAGCATGTTCTTTGAACTCTTCTGTTTTAGCTCAATAATTCATGTAAACTTCCATTTACTTCATTAATTCCATATTATTTCTACATAAAAATTATGTTTTCCTCAAAACAGCAAGTAAAATTAATATCCCAAGAAAAGGTACTATTTGTTCTTTTAATTCTTAATATCCTATTATATTCCTCCAAATTCAAGAAGGAATTTATTCTATAATTAGTGACAAACTTGTCTTTATTCACATTATAACTTCAAAAGCTGTATCGTTTTTCACCTTTATGATTCTAATAGCTATCATAATGTTTGACACACAAAAAACTTAATGAATAGCTAATGAGATGGAAGGATTAACGGAGGACAGTAGGTAGTTCTGGATGAGGCAATGAAGACAATATTTACATGAACTCGAGCTGCTGTCCAGCCATCAAGGCAAAGACAGAAGCAGTAACACAAACTTAACATCTACTACCTTTTATTTCTCTATTTCAAATAGCCCAGTAAGAGGCTATTAACCTGCATTCAGCTCTTTGTCATTCCCTCATACTCAACTTGTAGGCTTAATATCCAGAATAGTAAAGTACAAAGCACTCAAGCTGTCTACTGGATATTATAATACATCTGATATTATCAGAGGTATTAGCCATTATCATAAAGAAGTAAGTTTCTCAACCTTAAAACATAATGAGCAAGTGCTTTATTTACTCAAAGATAATTTATCAGTAGCCCAGGTCTATGACAGATAAACTGAATAGACTTTCATTGATTCAAAAAAGGCTATTCCCTAACAATGCTCGAGAGAAATGTACTCATTACCTTACTCGTGTAACTGCAACCTCTCTGTACAGCATCTTTACAATAACATAAGATGAAATAATTTTTTAAAAGCTATTCTTATACATGAGACAAGAACAATACAATTGTCTTAGCCATGAAAAATTCTGATAGTTTTAATAATATGATTTGTATTTTACCTATGCTAAATTTTTGTCATGTAAGTATTATACAAAATATTCAGCTTTCCAGAACATGGAAGATTAGGTTCCTTTCTTCTAAAAGAAGTTCCACAGGCCAGAAATTAATTAGTTTACAATATTAAGGGAAAAATGACATATACCTGATTCCATCTGAACAGGATACATTCAACTTAAAGTATATTAAATCTAGGTAAAAAGAAAATACTAGTTTCTTCAGTATTTATGTGTTGTCCAGTAATATCTGAGCCCTAACAGAGAGACCAGAAACTAAGTCTTTTCAAAACATGGGAGGAAAAGGAAAAGACCTATCACTTTTGATGTTTTCTTACCTTATCAGCAAAATAACATTGTGAGCAAAGCAAAACCAACTTGTTAAGTGACAAACAGAAAACAATGGAAAGCTAGAGGTAAAAAAAAATTAGGCAAATTAGGCAAAAGTGAGAAAACATAATCAAAAGATACTCTCCCCATAGGAAAGCATTCTGAGGAGGAAAAATGGAGGTGGGGGAAACAGGCCAGCAGGTGAAGGACAGATGGAAAATTAGGCAGAGAGGAAATGGAAACATAGAAGCTGATCTGGGAAACTGATGTGGCAGATAATCAAATAGGGATTCAGGGAAGAGAACAAGAGGAAAGGTAATTATGGACTTTGCTGGAAAACAATCACTATCTGTAACTCCCATAATGAAAAATATGGCATTATTACATTATAATTTTACCAAGCTAGACATCAATCATATGATAGATAAGTTTAACTCACCTGGCAGGCATAACTGCAATTTTTCTACAACAGTTGTAATATTCCTCTGCTGAATTCTACATCGAATAATATCTTCTGTTTGGACTATTACCTTAAGAAAGAAAGCCATGTTCATAATTTTAAATAAACAATTTAAATAGCATATAGATAGATAGATAGATAGATATTGAGTGCACAAATTATCATTTCCTTACCTCTTTTCCAGCATCTTGAAATCTTCGGTTGGTATCAGTAACTTGCACCTTAAAAATAATTTCACCTTAGTTAGACAAACATGCATAAAACTGCCCTGATGTAACTGCTCACCCTTGTAATCAGATCATACTTCATGAGAAACTTGGAACAAAGAAATGCAAATTCAAATTAACTCTACAGCTTGAACTTGAACTTTTGATTGAAAAGGGCTTTTGTTAACTTCAATTACTTATGACAGTTCTTTTTAACAGATTCTGTGGCAAACTTCTCAAATTTACTCAGGATTTTTGAACTTTACTTGCTTCTCTAAGTCTGTCAAACAATTCAAATCACTGACCCAATTGACCACTGGTCCCTTTTTGATAACTTCAATGAGGTCTATGTGCCATTTATTGTCTGTAGGAAATGGTGATTGCATTTTATGGTAATTAAACATTTATACTTTGCTGAATGCAAACACTGGGTGGTTGATGAACATCAAACACAAAAATCTCAATCCACAGCAACATTTTGATGCTGCAGGTGCAGACAAAGCTCAACCTCAAATTTTCCCACATACTAAGTGACTCATTAGGTCATCACAGTAAGGAAGCACATTCTGGTTTATTAAAAATCTCATTAATTTCTGAACAAAGATGCTCAGTGACCTCATTGATGCTGTATTTGGTCTCTTGTTATCTGAATATCCTTTATATAATGGTTTTCTAATCATAACATTAGAATTCTGTCTGCTAAGCACTTTAAATGTAAAGAAAGATAAATAGGACAATTCTTACAATTATGCATTTTATGTGTGGAGTGAACAAATCCACATCTCAAAAAATAAAGCTTTCTCTGCATGGCAGAAAAGGCAGACTTTCTACAAGAAAATTCTGCATTACTGTAAAACCCACAAATTTTCAATATAATTAAACAGTTTTGAGAACAAAATCATTTGTAGGAAGTTTCTTTTAACATTTTAGAAGAGTTTTTTTTATCAATCAATATTGTATTGTCAATTAGAAATTGTTAAAACTGCAAATATGGACTTTCATTGTATGTCTTCCATGCAGAGAAAGAAATTCTATTAATACATGCATTACTTGATGTAGAAAAAATTTACTCCTGTCACTAGCATGATAACTTTGTTAATACAGCATAAAGAGCATTCTCAAATACATATACTAATTTACTTCCTGAAAGCTCATTTAATAATAGCATATGGGGCTGGGAAGGTGGCTCAATGGTAGAGTGCTGCTTCCTCAGTAGCATATAAACAGAAAAAGCCAGAAGTGGCACTGTGGCTCAAGTAGAAGAGTGCTAGCCTTGAGCAGAAGAGCTCAGGGACAGTGCCCAGGCTCAGAGTTCAAGCCCCACAACTGACCAAAAAAAAAAAAAAAAAAAGACATATATGTACTATAATAGTTGTGTAGTTTAGTGAGAATAGCGACAGAATTTAATACATTTCCTACCTTCAGTTTTTCTGCATCAGTCCTTACTTTAAGGAGTTCTGTAATAGCATCTACAAAACCCTGATGATGAAAATTGCACATCTTTTCAATTTCCTTGTCATGGTTACGGATACAAGCATCTAACTTTTCCATAAACTTCTTGTGTGCATTTGGCTGGTCATCATACACGGATCTGTATGTATATAAAAAAACTAAAATTAACTTTTCCATTCATCAAAAGTTTTTTCTTTATTAAGCTCAATGTATCTAGCAACTCGATCTAACCTCTGAATAAATGGGCTGGGTCATATTACTAAGTGGAGGAATAATTTAAAAGAAATAACTTTATTTTTAAACATGTTAATATTTTAAAAGAAGGCAGGTGAAGACTTATGTTATAACCTCTCTGTACATCACCTTTACAATAAAAAAAAATGTACTCATTACCTGAGTTATGTAACTGTAACCCCACTGTACAACACCTTTTAATAACAATTTTAAAAAATAAAAAAGAAGTCAGGTGAAGTGACTCATGCCTGTAATCCTAGCTGCTCAGGATGCAGAGATCCAGACATAGGGAAGATTACAGTTTGAAGATAACTAAAGCCAAAATTTCAAATGACTGTATCTTAATCAATAAAAACTAGGTACAGTAGTACACATTTGTTATCTGAGATAAAGAGTAAATAGGAGAATAATGTCCTAGAACAGTCTTGGCTATGAATGAGAGCTTTTATTTGAAAAATAACAAAGCAAAATGGGCTGGGGTATAGCTCAAGTATTAGAAGATCTACTTAGCAATAGCGAGCACAATGCCCTGAGTTCAAACCCAGGTACTGCCAAACAATTAATAAAACACCTTTTTGCTAAAAACAGGAATACTAACCAAATCATACTGCAATTGATACAGTGCTGTTTTTCTGAGCAACTCTTCAAATTTATTGGTTAAAGTCTATTGAATGTCCAAATGGTTAGAAAGTGTTATATATATAGTATATTTTTAGTGATGTAACTTAAAGATTAACATAATGAAATACTCTTTTTACCGGGAGATCTGATTTTTGTGAAGAGTAAAAATATGTCTATATTATGATTACAAACAGAAGTGTTAATGCTAACAGTGCATATTAGCTACTTTGAAAAACATTTTTATATTTTTTAAAGGAAGGGCTTGTTGTTTCCCAGCTGTTTCCCAAAAGCAAAGAAGTTTTTAAGTCTTTTCTGTTTCATGTCATTTGTTTATATTATACTTAATAATGGGTGAATTAAAACTAAAAACTAAAAGCATAAGTGGAATGGCATATCTGAAATGTTTTTACGTTTTACCTTACACTTGAACAACTATAAAAAACCAACAAAAAAAAAGTAGACAGAAGCCCTCTACATTTATTACTGGCTATCTACAAATAAAGATCTAAGGCTCAAGAAGTGAAAACTAAATCTTTAACATACTAAGACTTAAAAACAATCAATGTGTGAATAAATAATTACAGAATGAAGAAACTCATGATTTCTAATAGTATTTACTATGAATCAGAACAATTATTAACTATATACTAACTCTTTAATCCTCACAACATGCCCAAAAAGTATTGCTTTTATCCTTGACTTATGACAAATTATAATTATGTTAATGCTATACATTCCATACTTTGAGAGTGACAACTGTAATATGAAGTTTGGCTTTAGAGCTCATATTCCCAAATACAAAGCTACCATCGTGTTCTCCATGGCATACATATACTTACTGTATCTTAGGACCAACTATTTCTACATAAAGAATACCTGTTCCCACCCCTATTTACTATGCAATGAAGGACAAACCTTGTCCCTGACTCCTGGAAGTTAAGTCTTTGGATTGTCCTGCCTAGGAAGTATCTTTACTTAACAGTCCATTTATTGGTGAGGTTGGGGCTTTTGGCTTTTGAGGAGTTGAAAACTTAAAACCAGCAAGGTTAGTAGTTAGCCATGTCTACATGAACAGTTAGTCTTAGATATATGACTATACTACCTTAACAAAAACCCTGGACTTCAAGGCTTGAATGATCATCTGTAATTGAAGATTCTAAGTGCTGACAAACTTCACTGCTGAGAAAGGTACTCCCCACATAATGTCACTGGGAAAAGACATCTGAAAGTTCATATGGGAAACTCTCCTACCACTCTGCCTTATGTGTTTTTTCCATTAATATTTTTTTTGTTCTTAATTTTGGCAGTACTGAGCTTTGTTAACTTTAATCTGTATTCTTCTGCTATAACTGTGAATAAAATAGCTTTCTCATATTCTAAGTCACTCTCCCAAGTTTTTTAACCTGAGGGAAGTTCTGGGGGCTTTTCAAAGTATACCTCTATATCTGTTGTTCATTATTTGAGGTTCAGTGCAAGTTGTATCTTTTTCATAGAACTTTATCAATCAATTCTATGCCAAATACTCTTTTAATCTGAATAGGCAATCTTAGAGTCCTTTATTCTCACGTCATCATCTATTGTTTTGTAATTTAAATGTTTTCATGAATATTAGATTTTTTTTTTTTGATCCGGTCGTGGGCCTGAACTCTGGGGCTGGGCACTGTCCCTCAGCTCTTCAGCTCAAGGCTAGCACTCTACCACTTGAGCCACAGCGCCACTTCCAGCTTTTTTTTCGGCTTATGTGGTGCTGAGGAATCGAACCCAGGGCCTCATGCATGCAAGGCAAGCGCTCTACCACTGAGCCACCTTCCCAGCCCAATATTAGGTATTTTATTTCCCCCCAATACCTTAAACTTCTTGAAGGCAACTTCCATGTCTTAGTTGAGTGAGTACTTAATAGAACACTGAAGACAGCAAAATAGAGCAGCAACCCAGCTCCAATTCTTTAGGAGCTAGAATGAGACTCCGATCTTTGATATCTTCTCCTCTAGATACTACTCTCTTGCCCTCAATTTGCTTGTTAGTATCAAAATCCACAAACATACTAAAAGTATTGAAGTATCATGCAAGTGCCAGAATCCAAAATTCATCTTATGATAGAATGTTGACCATAGTAAGGACTTAGGATACTCCTAGTGTGGGCCAAACATATCCATAATATCTGCTATCTGGGATGCAAGAACAGGAGGATTATGGTTCAGAGCTAGCCTGGGCAAAGCATGAGACCCTTATCAGAACTGGTAGAGTATTTGCCTAGCAAGTGTTAGATCCTAAGTCTAACTCTCAGTTCTGAGAGAAAGAGAAGGAAGAAAAAGGAAACAGGGAAGAGAGGGAAAGAAGGACCAAGAGAGAAAGGGAGGAAGAAAGGGAGGGAACAGGAGAGAAAGAGAGGAGGGAGCAGGGAGAGAGAGAAAGAAGGAGGAAGGGATAAAGGAGAATGGGAAAAGAGGGGGACTGGGAGAGAGGGAGAGGAAGCAGGAAGAAGAGGGAGGAAAAGAGGGAAAGGATGGAGGGAAAGGGAAGAGGGAAGAAAGGAGGGAAAGGAGGAAAGGAAGGAGGGAGGGAAGAAAGAGAGAGGAGATGGGGAGGAAGAAGAGGGAGGGAGAAAAGGAGGGTTGGGGCTGGGAAAGTAGCTGTGGTAGAGTGTTTGCCTTGCATGCATGAGGCCCTGAGTTCGATTCCTTAGCACCACACAAACAGAAGATGGGCATGCCCTGTGGCTCAAGTGGCAGAGCACTAGCCTTGAGCTGAAGAGCTAAGTAGCACTCAGGCCCAGAGTTCAGGCCCTATGACCAAACCAAAAAAAAAAAAAAAAGAGAGAGAGAGAGAGAGAGAAAAGGAGTTGAAAAGGGTTGATCATAGATAGCCCTCATTTTAATAATTGTAGCACAAATCTAAAAATCAAGTAAACACTCAAAATGGAACTAATCACTATATACAGTCAATTTAATCTACTAATAACAATGAAAAAAAAATAAGTAGTCCAATAGTCACTGGTGGCTCACACCTGTCCTCCTAGCTAATCAGGAGGCTGAAACCTAGATCTTTGTTCAAAACCAGCCAGGGCAGAAAAATCTGTTATACTACATTTCAAGTTAACCTGAAAAAACTAGTCTGGAGACATGGCCTAAATACCAGCCATGAGCAAAGAAAGCCAAGTTTGACTATGAAGCCTGGAGTTCAAGCCCTAATCCATCATAAAAAAATAAAATAATAATTAGATATTTAGTAATAAGGTGGACAATATGTAGATAACTGGCAGAAGGGAAGAAGGGAGGGGTACACACACACACACACACACACACACACACACACACACACACACACACATCAGATTATTGGAAAAAGCGAAGGCAAAAACAGTTTGACAGTTTACAAAGCTAAAATTATCCATCTTTGTTTCCTGTTAGGATCTATGTTTAATAACAGAGATAATTTGGAGAGATCATGTAGGGAGAAGGATATGCAGAAAGTAGAGAAAATGTGCTCTTCGAGTAAATAATTCTCCATAGTGACTTAACTGGCCATAGAGCAATCATGACTTGCTTCTGGATTAATGATGATAAAACCATAAAAGTAACAATTTCAAACAATTCACTAAAAATTTAGTATCTTCAGTACTTTACATGCATTATCATATTAAACATTCACTACAAATTTATGAAAGATTCTGTTAGCACTCCACTTTTCAAATGGAGTTTGGAGAACTGATTTAAATCAAAAGTCACATCAAAAACAGAGTCAAGATTTAACTCCAGGTTTACCTGACTAGAACACCACTGCTGTTGCTCTTAAATTCTATAGACTTGTCATTCTGCAATAGTGATAAACAGCATGGAATGCAGGGAGAAAGTACCAGTACTGCAACCAAACGCATCACCTTTGAAGATCAACAATTGAGAATGACTCAACAAGGAATTCCTGATGTGCACTGCTGCATCCATCAGGTGAAATCAACCAATGGACAGAAAAAGGAGATGAGAACTGAGGCATTGCTAATTGTTAGGCAGCAATAAGTTAGAAATGCAACAAAATAAGGAAGAACTAAATTGTTAAAGAAAACATATTTATCTGCCATCAATGAAGAACTCTTGAAACTTTTCCTTTTTGCCTTTCAATGATTATCATTATTCTTTGAAATTCTGATTTGCAAGACAGGAAAAAAATTACTGTTCAGGGGCTATTCATTCTTTGAACTCTACATTGATAAACAATAATATTCTATGTAATATATTAATGTGCTAAATGTATTACCATTCTAATTTTTTTAGTAAAATATTCTTT